ATAAAAAAAAATTATTGAAAAAGTCCAGATAACCGCAAATAAAAACCTGACAAATATAAACAGGGAAATATCAACAACTCAGATCAGGCGCAATACGCATTTTATGCTCAATGAAAACCGGATTTTTTTAGAAGGTGGTAAATTTCTGGACAATCCTGAACCTTTCAGGTTTTTTTTCGACTCATGCGTGCATCGCCGCTTTAGGAGAGAGTGTTGTACTTTCAAACGTTTTTAATTGGTTTTTCAGACCATTTTTTAAATACATTATTTTTAAATTAAAGCCACTATGTTGTATTCTCTATTTAGAACGATATTCTCCAAAGATGTACAGGGTGCCATCTAATCTATCGTACCATTCTCCCGATGTTTCAATAAACATAACTTTCACCATCAATAATAGCAGGAAACTCAAACATATTCTGCAGCATATGCAGCGTGATTGATATAAAAGAGTCGAAAAATCAGTTTTTTTCCTAAATGGCACCTACAAACTTTTTTGGCCCGGTTTGAAAATTTTGCTTTGATTAAACAGTAAGAAACTAAACCGAAGAAAAAACAGACATTTTAAATGTAGCAGTTTAGCTTACGAAGTACAGGTAATGTGCAAGACAATTTCAGAAAATTGTATTTATGGTAGATTATTTTAACTTTCTGAGGTAAAAAATGATGTATAAATTAGATTGACTTTAAAATTTGAGAAACAAAACGTTTCATAAATCTCCCTTTTCCACTACAAAGTAATTAACAGCCAAAAAAGATCAAGGAGGACAGGCGAAACTCAGACAAAAGCTGGTCCAGTATAGAGAAATAAAAAAAGATACGGAAAGAGATTCAAAAAGACTGGTCCTACAAAACAAAACAAATTACAGACACAATTGAGCAAAATAAAAAGATGAAGGTATTAGGCAGCAAAATGTCACCCGATAAAACCTTTGTTCAAAATATAGAATCTGCCAGAAGACATGCCGAAATTATCAATAAATGAAATGCCAACCGCTTTGATTTTATGAAGAATAAGAAATGTCCTGGAAAGGATCGAATAACAACCGAAATGCTGAAGCTGGGTTCAGATCCTTTGTTGCAATCATTAAAAATATTGTTGAAATATAAGGCACGTGGTAAGAGAAACATCTAACCGATGAACATATAAGATTTTAAACGGAAGACCGATGGAAGCAAACAAAGTCTCGGAGGACCACAAAAGCGATAGTTGGACAACATTAAAAACATAGCAGGAAGGTCTTGGTTTCAACTTGCCCAAGACGAAAATGTATGGAAAGCAGCAGTGGACTGACACAGGCTGAAGCATAGACAGTTCTATCTTCTGAATATTAAGCTAAGGATAAGGAACATTGAAACAACATTTAAAAAAGCACTGGAAATATCTAAACCAGTAAATAAAAAACACTAAAGACAGGAAATGAAACGTTCGCACTGGCATCAAAACCATTACCAGCTTAAAAGCTCCAATCAATTTTATTGCATCGACTACACAATCGTTCGAGATTTATGTCTGAACCGAATAGAAAAATTAGTAATTGTGTCCTTAAAAGAAAAATAAAAGTGTTTTGTTTTGACATTTTTATCGGTTGTCTCTCCCATAATTGGATTGGTGCAAAAATGTATTTAATTAGTCTCGCGAGTTAACGCAACCGATTGTCGCTCGACATTTTTTTGTACTGTTACGAGTATCGGTCGACGAATGTTGAACAAAGAATATTTCATGTCTTTCTGGTGTTAACAAGAGTCGTCGATAGGTGAAGTTTCCACTTTCCAATTAATTTTGAGAAGTTTAACGGTTGTTCTTGAGTATGCACTTTCAGTTCAGTCTGAAGCTGTTTCTGATTTCCTATATGATCAAAATCGACAATTTTTGTTTCTGAAAATTTCTCTTTTATGGGGCAAACTCCCCATAATTCGCGGTCGCCCAACAAATGACACGCGAACGGCACGCATGTGAAAACACTTAAAATAACAACAATTTTTTAAATCGACTCACATTTGCCTGTTTTGTGCTCTTTATCATATTTCTCTTTCTGACGTAACTCACACTCTTCATCAGTTTTCGTCAGTTTACTTAAATATTTGCTGTAACAAGTAATTTGCATCCAATATTTTCTTGGTTCCTCTCTCAACTTCCACACCGATAGAAGTTCTAAATCAGGTATTGGCTGTGGCAAACTTTCGAAAAGTTTCAACCAAAATCTTCTAGTGCGGTTTTAGATCGAGTTAACTTTGGTACTGCTCTTAAGACATCACTCGTGGCACTTGTTTTGGTTTATCAAGAATGTGAAGATGTTTGTTCCTTACTTGTCGCATTCGATCATCTCTGACCGTTGCAAATACTGATGTCGAGATTCTTGAGTTAATGGAATTTATCAAAAGCCTTTCTGAACATTTCAACAACATCTAATATATCAAGCGGATCAAGTATCTTTATGTTTCGCGTGTCTGTTCTTCAGTAAGGTTTCACATTATCATCTGCTATTCCGCCACCTTTCATACTAATGTATAAAAGAAATGATTGTCTTCAAAACATCTAATACTTGCATATACGATTTAACTCGCCATAATTTGCAATTGTTATTGTTGTTAAAATCGCTGTTGAAATGGCTGCAGGAATGATAACATCCATTGATGAATAACTCTTTAGCAGAGAACGCAACATTGTTAAACGAAGCCGAAAATCACAAATTTCATGAAAACTTGCATGGATCTATCAACATTACCGCCTATCTGTTTTCATTAAAAACAATACGACGTTACAGAAAAAAAGCAGCCCAATTTGTTTCGGTTTTTAAAGGTATTAAGCGAAACATCGTGTTTTTCGTGTCACTCGCTGCTAGTACAGGTGCGAAACTATTGTTGCGCATTTTTTGCAATAATTCTTGCGGTCGTACGGTGCTTGAGTGTAAAATGAAAATATTTCATTCCCTATTTCATGCCAAATTATTATTATTTATACAACCTGTCGTGATTCGTCATTAAATTTGTTCCGTCAATTTTTTTGCCTAATTCATACAGAAAAACTGGTGTGAATATTATCGGGAGATAATCAAATTATGAAAGACACTTTTTGCGGTCACCAGAATCTACCGCGAGCAGAACATGTTTTTAATCCTGAACTCTATAAAACAAAAGCTGCCTACTTCACCAATAAAGAGTAAAGTTAATAGGCTGGTGCAGGCACTTTAAAGATTTCTGAAATATTGCCTGAAGTTTTTCTTTTGGAAGTGTTGGTGTTAAGCTGACAAAGAGCTTTTAACGCAGCTTTTAACATCGCATTTGGACAGGATTGCTCACAAACGGGTTATTTATACTGGGACGGGCTGCGAATCTTTCAAAATCTAAATTTAATCCGTCAAAGGGGCACAAAGAAATCTAAAATCCGCCTCCAGCAGCAGCATTCGGCAGAAATGCAGACGGATTGGCCTTGAACACGACACTCTTGGCCAAAGCTGGTGCACGGATTTTATTCGACCACACCAGAGAGTTCACCCAACTGCTCCTTCTCCTTTCGAGATGCAGATTTTTAGGCATATTTACATTTTACAGGGGCGGGTATCATTTCGCCTTTATTGGTGCAACAGGCGATGTTTGAATACAAATTATTTTTTTATTTTTTGTGTACTACCTATATTATAATCATTTAATTTTCGCTTCAAGCAGATTACCTTGTACAATAAAGAAAAGCCTTTCTTACACCATTCAAGAGCATTGGAAAAACCTTCTGGAAGTTACATAAAGGTTTACAATAAATTTCAAAGTCATGTTCTAAAAATAAATTAAGTAAGTATCTAAATAAGAATCAATTTACTCTTTTATTCCTGTAATTCTGCCCTCGCGCGATTATCATTCAGAACTGAAAATAATTCTAACGTTTATTGCACCTTTCTTTTATCGGCAGTTTCACTTTCAAACTATAAGATTATCGAACGCTTTTTAATTTAATCACACAAACAAATCTGCATGAATATAGAAAACATTTCTGCGTGATGTCGAGATCAGTTTAAAACAAAATTTTTGCGCAAACTTACCGATTGAATCGAAAAACTGAGAAGTAAGTACGATTTTTTTTTGCCCAATTTACCCAAGGTATGAAAAGGTTTTTAATATTTAATTATCGCTAGATTCTGCCACCTAGTTCCGCCTCCTAATCAATTATTCTAAGCACAAAAAATATTAACCATAGATTTCTCTTACGCGATACAGTTAATAACATTTGTATTTAATTTAAGACACTTGGTCTCTTAATTGTAGTGCCAAAAAGGAATGCCTAGTCAATTTCAACATGTATGTTAAAGAATTTGGTTTTAAACACGGTTTCTAGCGGTTTCTGAAAACAAATCAATCAAAAAAATAATTATCAACATGAAACTGTTCTTCCCTAGAACAAGTATGGTACGGTTCGGAAATACATTGAATTTACTAGTAGATTAGTAAAAGTGATCAGGAAATTTGAGAGATAATGATTATTAGTCAATCTTATCGCAGCCTCTGAGAGGATATAAAAGTAGTATTTGCGGAATTAAATTAATTACCATTGCAAATAATAGAAAATGCGCTCAGACTCACTTAAATACAGAATATTAATTTATTGCTTCGATGTAAATAACGAATCTATTTCGCGACAAAATTAATCCTTTCCTGTTTGCCTGACATTTTACCCGACTTTCACAAGAAACTGAACGGAAAACAAGCGAAAAAATCAAATAAACGAAGCGACAAAACTTTCATGCCTTCTTATACCCTAATTAAGTATGGATAATTGCCATCAGTTTTTTGCAATTTTTTCCCTATCCGTTACTGAGCCGCGACAATGGTCACTGAAATGTGCGGTCGCGGTTCTCGTTACAATTATGAAATTTTGCATTTTTCTTGCTTAAATATTAGTTATGATTCTTTTCAGCGCACACTGAACGTTATGAGTCAACCGAACCAACAATGTCATCACATTTACGAAGACTTCTGTACCTCTAAAGCAACAATTCGATTTTCAGATACAGCAGCACCGTATGTCCTTTACAAGGATGGCATGGATAGGGCGCAAACTCAATGGGGACCACAAGATATTTACCCACCGCCACAGCAACAGCCCACCCCTCAAGGAGCGGCCAGCCCACCACATCAAGCGTTGGGCCCCACTCCTGTTCCACCCTTGGGGGTTGAGGCTGATGCTGTACCTTCGCGAGATCAAGTCAGTGTAAGTCGATGATTCAGAGTGATTCAAAATTGTGGTCATTCCTCTGGAGGGCTTGTAATTCTCACAAAGAGTGAGATATTTGCAAAAATTTTAATTAGAAGCTTTGCAACAATTTTTTTCATTAACAGTTCAGGGTGTTTCCTTAAAGCTAAAGTTGACACTCACAAATGAGTTTTCCTCTGGGGGCTGTTGAATTAACTGTAACTAACCAACTGTAAGATTATAGATAGATAATCAGTAGATTGCAGGTGAAAGCAAAAGCCAGATATTCCAACTCAATGACTCCCGGTTTGAATCACTTTATACAGGGTTATTCACGCTATACGGCACGGACGTTTGCGGCTAGCCCGTTTGTTTTCTGCAAAGTTGATTAATCCACAGACGCCTATCGGGTGCACATTTTAAAAATATTTTTGTAATGTACAGAGAGTCCCAAAAGCTCTAAAAGTATCAAAGTTGTGTTTTTCTAAATGAAATACCCTATATATTATTGCATTTTT